TGAGGGTGCACTCAGTGCCACTGTCCACGTCGCTGACGAAGATGCTAAACAGTACTGATCCTTGAGGGACTCCACTTGTAACTGGCTTCCACTTGGACATGGACCCATTGACAGCCACTCTTTGGGTGCAGTTGTCAAGCCAGTTCTTTATCCACCGAACTGTGTATCCACCAGTCTCATATTTTATCAGCTTGGAGACCAGGATGTCATGCGGGACAGTGTCAAAGGCTTTGCTCAGGTCCAAGAACATGAGTCTATTCTCAAGACATGCAAGTGGGTGCTTTCTACCACTGTCAATTTCTACTACTTACAGAATCCTACAGAGTGTTTGATTTATAAATCATTATTTGTGATTTGACCTCCAAAATTATAAAAGTACAGAAAGAGCCTACTTTCTGGATGTCACCTTCGCCATCAGTTTGGCCAGAGAGCATACTGCAGCTGTGAGCTTCCTGGAATTCCTGCCCACACAGATCTATTTGTAGTAGAAGCAGGTACAGCACACGAGTGTTTGTATATCCAGCAAAGTGACTGCAGAGACTTTCCTGTGCATCTACTTGTTTCCTCTCTGACAAAATCTACAGGTCCAAAATTGAGTGCTGCTCTGTATCGCAAGAAGAAGATTGAGGGAACTCTATTTTCATTTAAGCCTTGGGTTCCTGCAACATTTTGAAGGACTACACAAAAAAACACTCCATAGAGATGTTAATAAAAGCTGTCAATAGAAATGGTTATTTGTAATTGATAACTGGCCACCTATGTTTTCATCTCAAAGCTTAGAAGTGAGGATTACAGTAAGTTCAATTTTCTTTTCTTCTTTTTCTCTCTGTTTTCAAATCTCTGCAGGATACAAAATGGCAAAGTAATGTGTTTTTGCCAAGGCAAGTTCCGGGAATTTTTGTTCAACTCACTTCAAATTTCCCTGACAAACTGCTGATTTACTTCAAAATTAGTAGGCTAAATCTGAAATTATATGTGGAACTTGGAGATAAAAGTAAGGATCAAATTTACTAGCGAAAAACATCTATTACCCTTAATTGAAGCCATTATTCACATGCCACAATAAAGCAATACATGGAATCATTGGAATTGGAAGAGATCTCTAGAAATTGTCTAGTCCAACTCTTCTGCTGAAGCAGAATCATCTAGAGCACATCACACAGGATTGCAGCCAGGTGGGTTTTGAAAGTCTCCAAACACGAGACTCCACAACCTTTCTGGGCAGCCTGTTCCAGTGCTCTGTCATCCTCACAATAAAGAACTTCTTCCTCATGTTTAGATGGAATTTCCCGTGTTACAGCTTGTGCCCGTTGACTCTTGTCCTGTCATAGGGCACTACTGAAAAGGGTCCAGCTCCATTCTCCCTGTGCTCACCCTTTAGATACTCAAATATTTTTAAGGTGTCCTTTCAGTCTTCACTTCTCAGGCTAAATAGTCCCAGCTCTCTCAACCTTTTTTCATAGGAAAGATGCTCCAGTTCCCCAATCATCTTGGTTGCCCTCTGCTGGACTCTCTCCAGTAATTCCCCATCTCTCTTGAATTGGGGAGCCCAAAACTGAACATGGTATTGGAGGTGTGGCCTCACCAGGGTGGAATAGAGGGGGAGGATGACCTCCCTTGACCTGCTGGCCACACTCTTGTTAATGCACCTCAGGATCTCACTGGCCCTCTTGGCAACAAGGGCATACATCATACCTCCTTGAGTTCTCCTTTGCTCATGTTATCCAGATGTATTTTGGTCCAATATTTGTCCAGAAGAACAGCACGGCTGCCTTGCTGCCTGTACCAACCTCCACCACAACTGAATATCCTAAATCAAAACAACATGAAAAAACAGAAAATATGGTTTCTTGCTGAATAATTCAACATTTTCAGTACGTTCCCATGCAAAGAACATGTTACATACTGCTGCTACAGTGTAACACACATGCATACATCACCCACTGTTTGTCACTGTATTGTCACGTACCCTACATTGCCCATCTCTGCTATTCAAATTACCTGTTCTTTCATCACAGTGTTTTTCCCCTCTGTAGTGCAAAATCTCCTCTAGAGAGATTTGCAGAAAGATGACTGACAATAAGGCTATCAGAAGCAACATATAGAATCCTCTGTAAAGAGAGGAGCCTGACAGAAGTGGCCTGGGAAGTATCTTCCACAGATCCTAATGGATCTGTGCTCTACTGCAAAGATGCAGAAAGAGTATCTCCTGTCCCTTTTCCCTCCAGTCTTTCCTGATTATTATCCCTCATTCTTCAGGCTCACAGTCCTTTCCATCATATATTTTTTCCTTTTTTTTTTTCCTACTGCACAAATAACTATGCAGCCATGTGTCAGAGCCACTGTAAAAGCAGCCTCGCACATGCAAAGCATTAGATACTGAGTCTGTGGTTCGTTTTTTGCTTTCTGGTAGTTTTTTTTAGTTTGGTTTGGATTTTGGTTCGTTTGTTGCGGACTCGTTTTTTGGGTTTGGGTTTTTTAATTTTAATAATATTCCACAACTTGAAACTGCAACAGGTTCAGCTAGCCCAATGAAAACTGTAATTTGTGGCTATACAAACTGTTGACCAAGTACACAGAAGAAGAAAAACTTAAGAGATGAAGCAACCAACAGAGAGCTGAATCCAGAAGACCCAGTTCCAGAAAAAAATAAATCAGATAAAGAACAAATTTATGGAAGGAAGAAAAAGCAGGAAAATTCCTTAAAGTCTTTAAAGTAAGCTACAAAACATTTGAAAACAATGTAACCATTCCCCTTCTAGATACCCTAACTTTTAATCTTACTACAATATTATGTCTTAACATACAAAAAGACATTTTGACATCTGACAAATAAGCCATTCCTACAGTGCAAAGTCAAGAAAAGTACCTTACATCTGCTGGCTAGAAAAAATTACAAATGTCCATATCGATAAAAGACTTCCACAATCAGATTTTCTTAAAATACATTTTCCTTCTAACTCTTTTTTACTAGATTCCCAAACAAAATAATTTTATCTTTCAGTTAAAGTTATTCATGAAACTCTTAAGAAAATGTCTTCCAGGTATTGCAAGTGTCATGGGTTTGAGTCTGATGGGTTTATCTGTAAAAAAAAAAACCAAACAAAAATGCAGAGGTAGACTCATGCGAAATTTTGAGTCTCTGCCACCCCCAGGTAGGAGCTGGACCTGCCTCTAGCCAGGGCCAGGCCAACCAGCACGTCTGCCATCAAGGTATTTAAGAGGCGATCCCATTTTTCTTTCTCTCTCTTTTGGTTTCGTCTTGTTTCAAGCTGTCCTGCCTTTAATGTTGGGGAGTTTTTCTGTTGGAAGATGGAGAAGTGAGAGAAGAACCAAGGAACATCGCCCTGATGAGCAGAATACAGGGAGAAGAGTCCCAGAGGAGTAGAGGGAGAAGGCTGCCAGAGCAGGACCTTTCTCTGAAGGCCCTGGTGGGTGAGATGGCAGGAAGGTGCTTGCCTGCCAGCTGAGGGGGCTGACACTGGTGAGAATGTCCAGGATGTGTCGGTACACGCAGAGCTCCAAGCAAGAGGGGAGACAGACCAAGCATCAGCGGGGGACATGACCGAAGCAATCTGTGGCCCTGAGGGACTCACGAGGAAGAACAGGATTGCCTCCTGTGAGGTGGACACCACGCGTCAGGAAGGAGAGACTGCAAGGAGGCCTCTTCCTCAAGCAGGAGCTGCCATAGGCGATGAGTAATGGCCAGACGGACTGCACACCCCCATTTCCTGCCCCCCTTGCACTGATGGCGAGGAGGAAGTAGCCAGGGAGATGGGAGGGATGTGGGGGGGTGAAGTGTAGAACAGATTCGGTCATATTTGTTGATGTATTCCTCTCACTATCCTCCTCTGTAAATGGTGGTGGTGAATTAAATCTATGTTTTTTCTCACCAAGTTGCTCTGGTTTTTTACCCATCATCTTAAATGGTGGATTATTACCCTCTCTATCCTTAATCTCAAACCCTTGAGTCTTTTTTAGTTGAAATTGTCTCCCTCCACACCACTGTGGAAATAGGGGTGGGGAGGGAGGCATGAGCTGGAGACTGTGGCTTTTTTGTCCCAGTCAGCTCGAACCACAACAACATGTATAGAACTACTCAAGCAGGTGGAATAAAAAACTCAGAAAGTCCAGAAAACTAATAATTCAGTAGTCAGACTACCAATTACCCCAAGATGAGCAAAAAAACAGAAGTATTTTACACAGGTGCTGTTAAAACTAGCAAGCCAAGATACCTTGTGAATATCAATCATAAACCTTCCTCATACAGTATTTGCTAAGAGCGGTATTCTGTACTTGCAAGGGGTTGCTTTCCTAGGGTCTCTTCTGGCAAGTTTCATTCCTTCAGCCTCATTGAAGTGACCCTTCTGTAAAACGACTGGATTATAACCCAGTGTTAACATAAGGCTCCTCTGAAGTGAAAAATTCCTTTTACAACTTCTATAGCTTGTTAATTGGAAATTGCTAAAGCACTCCAGCCCAAGTACTTGCACTTCCTGTCTTTGACTTAAAAATAGGACATCCATACTCTTATCCATCTCATTCAACTTTACAAGCCTACCTCCTGGTTGCAAAAAACTGGAATCCTGATGCTACTTTTAAACAGTCACCGCGGCCAGGAATCAGCAACTCTCTTTTTTCCAAAAGAGGAATCAGCACTGAGATCTGGAAGAAGAGAAGAAAATTTGTAAAGCAACATTTTTTTGGTTAAACTCTTAACAGACAGCAAACCCACCCACGCTCATCTATCACTTGATACACTAAACCACTTCCACTGAACACCACCACACTGTCAGCATCTGCCATTCCTGCAGATTGCACTTCCAAGTGATGTCAATCGGAACTGCAGAGTTCCCCGTAATTTTTATCAGCAGTAGAAATCACAGGTGTAACGTTTAACCATGTTCTTTCTCCAGTATCCAGATTTAATCATAAGAGAATAGAAATGACAGTCTTTACACTGCAAGTCCAAATCAAAACTATTTATTTTAATCTGTCAAATGAATTATTGGACAATTCTGCATCAGAAGCCTGATAAAGGATGATCTACATCTCAAAGACCATATTCTCACACATCAACATTTTTCACTGTATATCTTGCTACCCCCAGGAGAACTTGGTATCTGTTTAAAGAATCTCTCCTTCCATGCGGAAAGACAGTAATAATGGTGGAAGGGAAAAAAGAAGATAGGACCACAAGGGTCCCTCAAGCACAGAGGGAGGTAAGCATGGAGACTTTGATATGGAGAAAGGCGACAGGATGCCTGCAGGGAGGACCTGAAGGAAGTGAGAGATGAATGTAGTATACTCAGGGCACACTCATGATGAGTGTGCAATGAGCTGAGTCCACAGAACAAGTAAGCGCGTGACCCTCCAGCAGTGAAAAATTGTCTAATATATAAAAACAGTATATCTGGCTTTCTTAGAAATTCCCTACATTTCAGAAGCCTAGAACCCAATAAACAAGCTGTCGGGTTATTTAGTTCCACAAACAACGCTTTACAGAATAGATATGAGAGAAAGTAACTATCCGCAGAATGTCCGGCAGGCCCGTTCTGCAAAACGTCCCCTTGCAGAAGACACGCTTTCAACAGTCATTACTTCAGAAAGGAAGGATGACAGTCTAACTAGTCACCCTGGAGCTGAATACAGGAAATCTGCTAAAACCTATACTGCTTAGTGTAAAAGAACAATTGTCATATCCAAGCCAAAGGTAAGAAGTGCGTAAATAAACGCAACAACATCCCCCCCCCAAAAACCAATAAAAAATACACAGCAAAACACTGGAAAAAATCGTATTAACATAGCATGACTCTAATATGACGACGATGTTGTGTGGTGTTTGGGGCCACACTTGTTTCCAAATATTAAAACGTGATTTAAAAGGCGCATAGCTCATTATGAGTGTCAACTGAACTCTTCGGAGCAAAATTTGGCATCAGTGTCAGTGTCATGACTACTCTAAAATAATGACAAAAACAAATACAGTGTGCTAATGTGTGAACAAAAGACAGACAAGTTAATTGTCTCAAACCTCATTTAAAATAGTAGAAGTTTCAGCGTGCTGCTGCAGAACTCATGGTGACCAGACTCCAAAAAATTGCTAGTATGGGCCTTAAGATCAGTACCTTACAGCAAACATGAACCCACATACCACATCCAGAGGAGCATAATCAATATCCTCCAGAAGTATCCAATGACCTTTGGTAACAGCTTGCGTCAAGGTTCCAGGCTGCCATACAAACTCCCCCGGTACGTCTGTACAACGATACATACCAAGCAGCGTCTATGACAGAAACAATCAGTAAATTTAGAGTTCTAATTCATTATGTCCCTTAAATACTCCAAGGGAAAACTTACATGCCAACTTCGGTAACTTTTCATAAGTAACACTTACTTAGCCTCCACATTCCTAAAACATGCATCTGACAATCTGTGCCTAGTATTACATTTCTTCTAATTTTAAAAAAAAAAAAAAAGTTTCAACCCTTTGCATCAATGACAATCTCACTGAAACATAGTAATGAAAATGGACCAAGTAATTGGAAGTCAATTTACAGAGCTGTGCCACCATAATTAACAACCAACAGTATAACATACAAAACTGTCTAGGGCTGCACTGAACATTTTTGACAACTCTGTGATTAAGCTAATAAGGGGAATTGTAAATAAAGGTTTTCAAAGATACAAAACCAGTCAAGCGCTGCTCTTCCATAAAGTTGTAACTTCTACATTTGACCATTCTCTAAATAATTAAGTTTCACTAGTACAGATTTTGTACGTTGAACTTTCCTACTTTTTCTTAATATGGCACCGTTACTCATGTGCATGAGGAGATACTCTTGTGGAGAACAGTTCTGAGAGCGACATCAGCTGCTCGATGCAACTAAAGAAGGTGCTTATGTATGCTAATAAAAACCTTCAGATAGCACTTCTGGTAGATGCCAATCACCTTGGAAAACTAAATATAAATTGAGCCAAACAACACAAACAAGTCAGGCTCAAAAGTTACACATGCAAAACCAGAAGAGTGTGAAATTACCTTCATCTCTCGTTTTATCTTTACAGGTAGAGCTAGATCGCTATTACGCAGTTGCAAGTGTCCTCAACCTCATAAGATGTCACTTCCTCTCACCTTTACCACAAAAGACTTAGAACTGCAATGAAATGTCCATACAGCCCTCGGCACCAGCTCGAGTTATTTTACAATCATTTTTTTCCAATATAAATTTTCAAGGAGAAGTAAGGTTGGTTTTAATTTAAAAAAATCAATAGGGCTTTTCCATATAAAAAAAATCTGATAAAACATAAATTGAATGAAACACATACAGCACAGAATTAAAAACCTACTGAAGTTTAACTGTGATTTTTCTGCACATCTATTTATTCTCATCAACAGTAAACCAAGAGCACATTATTAGAAAATCAAGTCTATGCTTTAAGTAAAAGTTATGTCTGCTCATCCAACCATAAAATAACTTCATCAGTTACCTTACTATCAGTTTGATCTCCAAGCTGGACTTTCAAGATATGAGGAGGCTTCACTCTTCCTGTAACAGCTGCTAAATATTCAATTAAAGTAGTTTTGCCACATCCTATTGGTCCTTCTAATAAAACAGGACGCTGATATGCTACAGCAATAGCAAGGTTTTGAAGATTTGTGAAGGCAGATTCAACCAAAACAAAATGGCTGGTGTTATTTTCCTGTTCAAACATAAAGAAAGTAACAATTTCAGTGTAGTAACTCAAGTTTTACAGGTTGTACAACACAGAACAACTAGAAAACTGAGTCTGACAACTAGAAAATTTTGGCCTGCAGATCTGTCAACACATATCAAGTAAAATAACGGATTCTAAAGTTGTATTTAATGACAGATATTGAAATAGATTTCATCAAAAACCTATTATAGGTGAAACATTTAATAGAGTGTATGTACAATTTGCTCCCAAAGGGAGTTCACACTAAGTTGTCAGCACCGGCATAGAAACTATTCTATCATAACACATGTCAATCAAATCCAATTTGCAATATAAGTGAAATTAAGTCATCAGAATAGATCCAAATCACAGGACAAATCAAACAGCAATTAGATTCCAATGATGCAAGTATGAATATTAACCGTTATATTTACTTGCTTCTGCATAGGCCAAAGTATAAAATTATTAAACTCAGTGCATGAAGGAAAAAAAAAAGAAAAAAAATAGGTAAATTCAGCAACATTTTAATTTTATTCAAAATCAAATGAATGTAGTTTATTGAATGGTTAATTAATCAATACTTCAGATACTCCTCAAATTTATAAGTGACTGTAGAAGGGTCAAAAAATTAGAAGAGCCGCAAAAAATTAGCGATTTCCTGACAAAAGGCACAGAGGTGAAAAAAAAAAATCAGAGTACATACTGCACTGAAACAAGTGTCTTGTATGTAAGTTTGATCTTCTTTTCAGGTACGGTTTCATGTACTTCTCTGGTAACAATGCTAGTTTTTAAATGTATGTGCTTTCCCTCACAGTTTGCTTCTACCTCTTCATCAGACTTCCCCAGCTGAAACCAGCACGTTCCCAGCATGACTGGAACTACACTGTACACTAAACCAGTGAAATATCTGTGGCTACTAAAAAAGAAATAAAGGCATGTCTTTTGGGAAGCTCTGCTTCCTCATAGGCAAATAGTATCCTTTTAGCAGTTCCGTATATAGCATGGCCTAGCTTCAGCACAGCTGCAGTAGCAACAATGCTGGTATGGGAGCAAATCTCCTTAAACAGCTCACAACCCGCCCCCAAGCTATAGTACAGCAAATTCAACTATAGAAGTTGGAGGCAGGGAGAATTTGGAAAGAAATTCTGCTTTCCTTGCTTCTGCTACTCAAGAAATTTTGGACATTGGCAGTCTAAATTAATTTCTTTGTCCTTCATTTGTATATCAGTGTTGCAAAAATAAGTAGAAATACTCAGCTAAGAGCTGAGAAAAGCCAGTCAGGAATACTGACTGCAGCCTGAACGGTTCAAGATGAACAGCATCTCAAAAGAAAAAAGTTTACTCATTATTCAAAATGTTCATGCTTTTAATGGACTTACTGAAACTATAATGCAGCACATTTTGCATTACACTTCTCAAGTGGAGAAAAATAGTTCTTGCTCACTTCCTTTCCCTTTTTCTCTCTTCTAGAAGAGTAAGTAGCAACCTTGTTTTAAGAGAAGAACTAAGAACATGTTTGGAGAAAGGCTCTTAGTAAGATATCTGTATAGCACAAAGAACTACTTCATGGCAGGTAAAAGCAACTCTGCCAGATCCTGGCTTTACTCAGATACAGAATTTCACCATAACTTGGACTGGAAATACTATGCAAGCTTGAATATTTTTTTGTAGTATGTTCGTAAGAACCACTACATGAAGATACATGAAGATAAAATCAGCAGCACTATTACGCATTGCTTTCTTCCACTGCAGAGCTTCTTTGCAGTGTCTATACTATGCAACGCTAGCTTGCAGCACACATTGAGAAAGTACATGATAGACACGTTACCTGTAGTATCTCAATATAGAATCAAAGAACCATAGAGCAGTTTCAGTTGGAAGAGACTTTCAAGATCATTGAGTCCAATCTTTGTCCTAGCCCTATCAACCCCACTAAACCATGTCCCTCAGCACAACATCTACCTGTCCCTTAAACACCTCCAGGGACGGTGACTCAACCACTTCCCTGGGCAATTCCCTGTTCCAATGCTTGACAATCCCTTCAGTAAAGAAATTCTTCCTAATATCTAACCTGAACCTCCCCTGGCACAACTTAAGGCCTTTTTCCGTTGTCCTGTGTCTCACCACTAGGGAGAACAGATCAACCCTCACCTCGCTACAACCTCCTTTCAAGCAGTTGTAGAGAGGAATGAGGTCTCCCCTTAGTCTCCTCTTCTGTAGACTCAACAGCCCCAGATCCCTCAGCTGTTCATCGTACAACACATGCCCCAAATCCTTTACCAGCTTGGCTGCCCACCTCTGTACCCTCTCCAGCACCACAATGTCCCTCTTGTAATGAAGGGCCCGAAACTGGCCATAGTACTCAAGGTGTGGCCTCACCAAAGTCGAGTACAGTGGAATGATCACCTCCCTGCTCCTGCTGACAACACCATTTCTGATACAGGCCAGGATGCCTTTGGCCTTCTTGGCCACCTGGGCACACTGCTGGCTCATGTTCAGCCGGCTGCACGTCAACACCCCCACATCCCTCTCTGCCTGGCAGCTCTCCAGCCACTCCTCCCCAAGCCTGTAGCACTGCTGGGAGTTGTTGTGGCCAAAGTGCATTTGCCCCTACTGAAATTCATGTAATTTGCCTTGGCCCAGCAATCCAGCCTATCTAGATCCCACTGTAGAGCCTCCCTACCCTCAAGCAGATCGAAACTTCCACACAGTTTGGTGTCATCTGCAAACTTACTAAAGGTGCACTCTATCCCCTCACCCAAATCACTGACTGGGCATGTTTATCATTTAAGCAGAAAATAAAAGTCAGTTCATCACTTCAGGGACTTAAAAAACAAAACCAAAAAATACAGACTTAACCTTAGGTTACATACCTGCTCTTCAGAAACAAGCTGTAGTTTAGGCAGTACAATACCACATACAGCTACTACATTTGCAGAGAGGTCTGTCGCTACAATGTGTCCTTGCGCATACTGCAGTTCTTTCTCCTTTTGCCAAAACAAAGAGTCCGGATTGGCCAAAACAAGGGCTTTTTCCACATTCTGCAGCTGAGACTCTTCCAGTAGCCTGTGAAATCCATATTTATTAACTCAACTGAAAGCCACCACCAAAACCAAATAGTGTTCCAAGATTATGAAGTTCTTACTTTAGTCTGAAATGTATCAGCTCCTCGGGATTGAATATCTTCTTCAGGAAAGACAATTTATGCTCATCATTCATGCACGTGACCAGAGCAAGACAGTTTGAAGTGTACCTAAAAATTACATTTAGAACAAAACATGTCAAAGCATAGTCTTCAGAAATTTAGTTTGACAAGTGTCAACTACATCCTAAAACATCAAGTTTGGAAAAACATGCAGAAAAGTTTCTTCACAGAAATTATTTTAGTGCTATGCTTAATATTCTTTAAGAATAAAACCCAAGAAAAGCAACTCCATCACGCATACTTCATTAGTTATTAAACTAGCTAACCTTTCTCTGAAGGACTGCATAATAAATAGAAATATAGTAAAGGAGATCACTTTTCCAAATAAATAGCTAACATATGAGAAAATTAAAATTAGGTTACTTGCTTGTTTTTTTTCTTCTTATCCTACCACTTCCCTTTCAAAACTGCTTTCTATTTCATGCTATTTCTAGAAGGACCCTAACACAATGAACTTAAGACTCAGTGCCAAAATAAGCCAACAAGTCAAAGGTCTTGACCTCATTATTACATGAAGCTGTCTTGCAACAAAAGGACATTTAATACAAATCATAAAACACTTTTAATTTTCTATATCACCATTTTTACCTTCCAAGAACAAAATTTTCAAACAGCTTGGCGGGGGGAAGAAGAGTTGCCAGAAGATTGGTTAAGGGCAAAATTTAAAAGCTCACTCACTTATTATTAGCTAAACACCAGGTAAATCAATTCCAGACAATGAATTAGAAACTATTGCTTTTTCTAAGGCTATCTAAGTGTACGTCATCCTGAAGAGCTTTATAAATGGCTGATAGATTCGACAGCTCTTCTTCTTCCTGTCCTTCCTCAATTATGCACTTTATTATAAAATGGCACGTCAATAACATAATTCTGAATTTACATTTTAAAAAGACTATTAAATACCTTTTCTAAATAAAAGGCCCTATCAGTATTACAATCATATAAATAAGGCAGATCATGTGACTAGGCTGAAGCCCTACAGGCAGACACCTAACATAAAACATCTAACCACAGGCAAAATCTGCAACAAGGCCAATTAGAAAGCACAGGTTAACTAAGCCGAGATTTATAGCGATCACGATGTCTATAGACAAGCCATCAGAAGAAAATCAACTCGTTAATAGCATATCAGTGCAGGATAGGTTCATCTCTACTTTTTTTTTCTAGAATAACATGCTAGAGTGCACGCAATATACCAATAGGTAGAGGTGAAGTGATAAATTCACCATGTCCCATGAATTCAACTTGGCTACACCGATTTGAAAAGATTCTCCAGACCACAGCTTTAAGCCCGACCAAGAGCCAGTGAAAGTTTCACTCTGTGATAGATCACTACAGCTTTCAAAAGATCAGTTAAAAAACACAGGTACAGATACCATTGGTATGGATTTTTCTGGTGTTATTTGAAGACTATTTTCTACTTGCATGTGAACATTGTTAAAATACAATTCAAGACATAGACACATCTATTCAATGGAGAAGATCTGAGGGGTCTGACTTACCAACGGACTAAAGTGTCGTGACTCCTTAGGAGTGGAATACACACACTCCAGTCCCATAATTCCCGGAAAACTGATTGCTCCTTTTGTAAAAATCTATAGGCTGCCTCCATGAGGTCCCGTAACTTCATTCGTCTGCGCCCGTATCGGACTGTATTTGCATCCGAGCTCTCCAGGAAAAGCCTCTGGAAAACTGGTGATGTATTCTTAAAATATCTTAAAGCAAATCTTTAAAATAAAGAGATGGAACACAGACATTTAAGCCAGAGGAAAGGAAAACAGCCACTAATCAAAACGTGAGGGCAGAGGTCCTGAGACAGTAACTAACGGCATACAGAGAAATAAGGCCTATATTTAACTTTGCCCACGCTTGGAAAAGACAACCACTTCAGCAATCAGCTGCCAACAGATACTTCAGCTTATTAGAAATCATTACTTAATTATCAAGGGGAAACAGTACAGCCTTTGGTGAAATCTCTTCGATTGCTCATTTACGGGAACTGATTACTACTTATGTAACCTTGTGTTATATTGACCAACAGGTCTAATATTACACGCAGAGATTTTGGTTGTGAGCAATTTTCATGCCAGCTATTTTGCTTTTCTTTTGATCAAAAAGATGAAAATTATGTTAGATCTTGCAACAAGACTTAATTTAAATAAGCTGTGTTTAAGACTCGTGTTTTCTACACCGTTCTTTTGACACAAAACGCATTTGTTACTGTGGGAGACGATGCAAATTGTAACACCACCTCGCACCACTAGTGAATGCTGACAAGCATATACTCCCAAAGCTCAAACGCTGCACAAAGAGACATCACATTACTCACGGCAAAACATCAGGGTGATCGGCAACCAGCTTGCTCATGGCTACACAGAGCCTTTCATGTCGATCATGGTTGATTTGGCCACCAGCTTTAATAGCTTCTGCATTTCTTTCCAACAAATCCAACAAAACTGGCCGAACTTGACGTCCAACCAACAGAGTACATTCTTTATCCAGTAATAACTGTGCTAAGGTGTCAAGGATGCATTGCCGATCTTGCTGAGTCCAAATCTAGAGGAATGGAAAGGAAGAATAGGCTAAACAGGAAATGCTCGGGACTTCTAACTTCAGAACTATTCAGGATTCACCATTAATTTTACAGGAACAAATCTTTCAGAAAAATAGAAAGGAGTCCACAATTACCCATCAAAATACCTACTTGACACAGCTCTCCGCACTTAAAAAAAATGGGAAACAGAACAAGCGAAATGCATAACGAGACACTAAATGGGAACTACAAAAAAGTCTGAAAATCCTACATTTTATTTAACAGCTGAAAGATAAAGCAAATAATTTTAAGATTTTTTTAAAGAAAAATATTTGAATACATTATAACAAACAATACATCTTCATTAATAAATTCCCATTGATCTCAACAGCTTGATCTCACAAGTGCCACAAAATATTTAAGAATTTGTGCTCTTAAAAACCAGGTTGAGTTGTATCTCATTCACTATTTCTTTTCAAAAAAGCACTCGATATATCATGATCATAGGCTTATTTCCATATTGCTGATAGCAATGTAGTGAGCAGTGCTCTTTATGAGAAGCATCATGGATCTGCAGTTTTGAAGTTGAGATTTTTTTTTCCTTACTTTTATATAAAAACGATCCTTTAGCACAAAACAAAGGTTAGGCTTTAGAATAGATTGAACACATATTCACATGTGCTAGGTGACAAAAGAAAAACAAAACCCACAAAAAGCACACACATCCTCCCACCTTCTTAACTTCGTTACTGAAGAATCACCCTTTTCTTGTGCTTTATGCCTAAATTTCTCTCATCTCCGAGTTCCCATTACTATCCAAGCATCTCCCTACTTCCACGACGGTTAGAATATAATGCTGCATAAGTAACTTAGAAATGTAAAATATCAGGATTATGAACTGGCACCGTAGCAGCTTTGCTCTTAATACTGATGCTCCACTCTCCATTCCCTTGCTGAGGGAATCCTTATCCCATGAACACAATTTTATCTTTCTTGGCAAACAGTCATAAACACAGCTAGGCAAGGCTGCTTCCAAACAAAGCAAGAATCTACTAAACTCCTACAGAAACATTCTGTGATTCGGGTAGTCTTTCATTTTAGCAATGTGTGCAGCCAATTTCTGCTTTTCCTAGACTTTTGTTACTGAGGCAAAACCTGCTCCTGTACCTGCAGATGGGATGCTTTCATTGTCACAAGGTAAACAGACTGCAGGGGTCCTACACACTACCCTTGAACTGGTGACACCCTAGGGTTATACCACTGTCCTTCCTTCCTATACCACATTCCTTCCAGAATACATGCATAAGTTCCTTGGGTCTGCTTCTGAATTTGAAGACATTAATTTCCTAACAGTATGTAAGAAGTCAGGGAAACTGCAGTATGTAGGCTACAAACATGTAAACTATCACATTAATCACAAGCAGTTTCTTACATGCTTTGTGTTTATTTTTATGAAATATGATATGTTTATCTTCCTCTCATCTATCAGAGCAGCATCAAAAATAATTTTAAAAATTGAGCTGAAGGTCCACATTCATCACAGAACAAGCAAGAGACTGCTCATTATAGGGAATATTTGGAGTGGCAAAATGATTGACAAGTTGTTGAAGGGCAGCATAGCTCAAAAGAAACAGAAACTCCACTGTAAAAAAAAAAAAAAAAGTACCTTCAGTTTCCAAATCAATTACATCTTTGGCTACCCAAACAAGGCACAACAGAATGCTTAATTTATTAAACAGAGCTTTCAATATCAAATAAAAGGAAGTTAACAAAATAGCAAATAAATAGTGTGACTGACTTAGTAAAATTCTGTAGCTACATGACCACTGTATAGCAAATCCATTCCATTAGCAATTTTGTAAGAGCAAGCAGTTTTTTAATCATTGTGGGTAGTACCCTTAGGACATATAAAACTGTTCGAAAAAATCACAGCGGCAACATTCTCATTCTACAAAGAGACCATCTGTCAGATTTCAGAGCTTTTCAGAGTCTAAATTAAACATTTGATGGAAAAGAAGAATACTGTCAAAGGGTTTTTCTAACTTAAGGTGGCTTTGTGAAATACCCAACTGTTACAGAATAGTGTGCAAAGACCCTCCTGTCGAGTTGTGAAGTTCAGACTGGACCCTTTTGCTTTCTAAACTTCATCATGGAGAAAAGTCTAGGTGCCGTTGGATCCAGTCTTAGCCTTATAGCAGTAAAGAAGAGTGCAGATCCTAGGCTCTGGTTTATTTCAGCCTGAGCTGGGACTCTCCAAGAGAGACCCTGAACGCAGAAATCCCCAGGCAATTATACCCTTACAATCTAAATTCACCTTCCCTCATGTGATAGTTGGGTCCAGTGCTGGGGTCTTCTTGTTCCTCATTGGATTCTTTCTCTCTCCAGGTGGGAATTCTTTTCTTTATCTCGAGGATGCAGTTTCTGTTTATCTTATCTTTCTCAAGTAACACTGGTTTTCCGGGCTTTTCTTCAGCCTAATCTCTTCAGTACTTATGTAAAAATCCACAGTCTGCACCTAAGGCTTCAGTAAATCTGGCTACTCATGGTAAGCAACTGTCACTCATAAGACAAAACAAATTTCAAGTCACCCCAATTTTAAGCAATATCACAGTTAATTCTAATATTCTACAAGTAAGCTATTTTAATCTCCAACATCAACTTTCAGATCAGCTGTCCTTTGCTACTGTTTAAGAAAGTGTTTAATTCCAGTATTCATATCTTGGGTAGTAAATCTGTGCCCACAGTTCCAAGCAGCTGCTTTAAGAAAGCATCACAAAAGACTGTTCCTCGCAATACAGAATACATACACACACACCGTGTATTATTAATGACAGAGAAATTAAATAAGCACAGCTAGGAGTAAGACCTGGAGTCAAACACAATCCCAGTCGTTAAATGAGCAGCATGTTGCAAATCTCCTTCCCAACCCGCACAGTACACTTACTTAGTGCTCACAAGGTAGAGAAATCTTTATTAAGAACTGGCGTAATCCAAAACTCAAGATGACTAAGAGGACGGATCACAGCAAGGAACGATCTGGGCCCATGTAAAAGCCACATTTCTGATCGTGGCACACAGATGTTTCCACAGAACATTACACCATACATAGATTTTACAATGGGATACTTCAAAAGGGTAGAAGGGCATAAGGGTCACATGTGGGAAATCCTTTCCCTCCAACACAGGAACACATGTTCTCAGCTCCATTCCCTTGAACTACAGCTCTACCATTGCATGACTGTGCAGCAATCAGTTTGGCAAGATCCAAATTAATCCTTCTTCCAAAATCTTCCACTGGGTGGGAAAGCTGAACAGACTTGTCACATCAGCACACTCACTAGGTTCAGGACAAGAGAACCAACAGAAAGGTGTGGCTTCACCTTGGGAGCAAGCAAAAATAAAACAGGGTAGGACCACTCTTTTTGGCAGCTATCCAGTTCAGTGAGGTAAAGCAAAATGAGCCTGTGCTCTTATAACCCTCATACTCCAAGAAAAATAATTTAAAAGGCAGACTGATATGCAGTCTCACAAGGAGAACAAGATACCTTCAACTACCTGGAGAACAAGCTAGAACTTCATCTCCTCCAGCACATCATGTTTGATAGAGCTGGACAGATGCTCGCTCCTTCAAGGATAGAGAGAACATTCTCTTTGACTTTGATCAGCGTATTTATTAACACACCATCTCCCCAAAAATCACAGCTCTTCAAAAACTAGAAGAAGGTGATGAGAACATGCTCCAGGATGGAAGCAAAAGTGCAACATACCTTCCCTTATTTATAATTCTACATGATGTAAAGCCTAATTAATCTTTCAAATAAAAAGCTGAAGTCATATTTTAGGAAAAAAAAAAAGTCTGTCTTAGTTGCCAGGACATTAGTACATTTTTCCATCAGCCAATGAGTAGTTGAGTGAATTTGGGACAGCTAGGTCACCTTTTTTTGCCTACATTTATTTAAAAAAAAAAAGGAATAAAGGAATTTCTCAATATCCAATGCTAAGACTGAAGGGCTATAAATAAAACTTAAGAGCTATTATTGAAACGATTTTCACTGCTACACATAAAAATGAAAGGCAAAATTAAGTATGCCAAGCTAAAATACCAACAGAATAGAACAGGAGATCCAGAATAGTGTGTTTGAGATCTCCAGTTTGCTCAAGACGGTTCCGCAGACTAGAGGAAATATCCTAATGGGTCAGGTTTTTTGATTTATATCTCTCTATACATATCACAGTGGCAGATGTGAACAGCAGAAATGAATAATGGTATTTTTGCACTAAAGTTCTATTACTACTAGCATTTTAACCGTCACATCAATGAATATCTTTACTACAATTACACTATCACAGGGAGCCGAAACACGTACATTTGGACAAAATCTGCATTTGGAGTTCTATGCTGGAAGACACTGTGATTCAGACAGACCCACAAGCACATTCCATAAGTTTGTGGAGCCCTACTGCTTATACAATGTCAAGGTTTAGGGCTGGACCGGCAACTAAATGACTGACAGATGCTCTAGAATAACCCCTCTCCAAAGGCAAAGGGAAAAGGGAATGATGCAGAGAGAAACTTATGGATTGGGAAAGAAAATTAAAACAACTTAACGAAACAATAATAGTACTACTACTAATAGTATCAATGCTGTTTAACATCTTTGTCAGCAACACGGGCAGTGGGACTAAGCACCCTCAGCAAGTTTGCCGGCAACACCAAGCTGTGTTATGCTGTCAACACGCTGGAGGGAAGGGATGACATCCAGAGGGACACAGACAGGCCTGAGAGGTGGGCCCGTGCTCACCTCATAAAGTTCAAGAAGGCCAAGTGCAAGGTTCAGCACCTGGGTCGGGGTAGTCCCAAGCACAAAAACAGACTAGGCAACTGTGGATTAAGAGTAGCCCCGCAAAGAAGGACTTCGGAGTCTTTGTGAATAAAATAATGAATATGAGCCAGCAACATGCACTCACAGCCCAAAAAGCCAATCTTTTCTCGGGCTGCATCAAAAGAAGCGTGGTCAGTAGG